AATGGCTCCTCCACCCCGTCGAAACTAGAAGTATCTGCCTTTTTGCGAACCAGAGTCTCATCTCTCACCCACAACCCCACCTACTCCCACACCAACACCCAAACTTATGCTTCCATCCTCTTTAAACCTACAACCTGCCAAGCCTTGCCATATTTGTACCAAACCCTCTCCACCCACTCCCCCTCCTCCAGAACAGTTGACCCTGTGTTCTCAACCCCTGCTGCTAATCCACTCCTGATAGACAAGGATGAAGATGAAGACTCAAAAGATGAACAACCAGAGAAACCTAGACAACAACTGTCAGAACCTGATCTAACTTGGTTGAGAGATCATCCTCCTAATCAAGTAATTGGTCATGTCACTAGTGGAATTCAAACTAGGTCATCATCCAGAAGAGAAGCCATGTTCACCTGCTGCATATCTCAAATGGAACCAATGAGTGTAGATGAAGCTCTAGAAGATTCAGATTGGATCAATGCAATGCAAGAAGAGCTCACACAGTTTGAAAGAAACAAGTATGGGAACTTGTTCCTAGACCAAAGCATCAGAATGTCATTGGAACCAAATGGGTGTTCAAGAACAAAGCAGATGAAGAAGGCAACATTGTAAGGAATAAGGCAAGGCTTGTGGCAAAGGGATACTGCCAAGAGGAAGGCATAGATTTTGATGAAACCTTTGCACCTGTTGCAAGACTAGAAGCAATCAGGATCTTTCTAGCCTATGTTGCCTACAACAACATCAAGGTCTACCAGATGGATGTCAAAAGTGCATTCCTGAATGGAGAACTTAAGGAAGAAGTTTATGTGGAACAACCACCAGGTTTTGTCATTCCAACTCAATCATCTTGTGTCTACAAGCTTAGAAAGACCCTTTATGGTCTTAAACAAGCTCCCAGAGCCTGGTATGACACACTATCCCTATTCCTAGTGAACCATGGGTTTACCAAAGGAAAGGTTGACAAAACCTTATTTAAGATTTCTGTTGCTAATCATATACTGTTAGTGCAAATATATGTTGATGACATTATATTTGGAAGCACTAATCCAGAGTTATGCAAGAAATTTTCTCAAGTTATGCAGAAAAAGTTTGAGATGAGCATGATGGGAGAACTAAGCTACTTTCATGGATTGTAAGTCAAACAAGTTCCAGAAGGAATCTTCATCAACCAAGGAAAGTACACCAGAGATCTCATAAAGAAGTTTGGAATAGATGGGAAGTCTTCAGTCAAGATTCCCATGAATGCTTCTCAAGGAATCAGACCAGATGATGAAGGAAAAGATGTTGATGCAACAACATATAGAGGAATTATTGGATCGATCTCTCCTCTATCTGACTGCAAGCAGACCAGACATAGCATTTGTTGTTGGAATCTGTGCCAGATACCAATCAAAGCCCAAGGAGAGTCATTTGGTTGCTGCTAAGAAGATCATCAGATATATAAAAGGAAATCTAAATGCAGGCCTATGGTATCCCAAGGGAGGTAACTTTGAACTAATTGGCTACTCTGACACGGATTTTGCAGGTTGCAGATTAGACAGGAAGAGCACCTCTGGTCACTGCCAATTGCTAGGTGGGAGACTTGTCTCATGGTTTAGCAAGAAGCAGAATTCCATCTCAACTAACACTGCTGAAGCTGAATACATTGCTGCTGGAAGCTACTGTGCTCAATTACTCTGGATGAAGCAACAACTTAAGAATTATGGAGTTCAAGCAAAGGAGATCAAGCTCCTCGGTGACAATACAAGTGCTATTACTCAGAACCCAGTGCTGCATTCAAGAACAAAGCACATTGAGATCAGACATCACTTCATCAGAGATCATGTGGAGAAGAAGCATATTTCAATCGAGCATGTTCCAACTGTAGACCAGCTAGCAGATATCCTAACCAAACCTCTCTCTGAGGCAAGGTTCAACAAGCTAAGAGAAGAATTGGGAATGATGGATGATCTTCCCGAGATGCATGAATCAGAGTTGCCGTGGATCAGAACTCGAGCTTTCTGAATCAGAGTACCATGTATCAGAATACCACCTCCTCTGATACATGAGCTCTTATTCTTCAGAAGGGCTGTGGACTTAGAAATTTTCTGAAATTTGGGCGAACTTAATGACGGCTCCTGATTTTACTATCTTACCCCCAACAGTTATTTCCGTAATCGGAAACGGCTTTCCGCCCACAATCCATTAAATGCCTCCTCGAAACCCCAAATTATATCAAACGTCCACTAACCCAAATCAATTTATACCCAAGTTCGTAAACCTAAACCGCCATTTCATTTTATCTCTCTTCGTCTTCAAACTCTCAGAACTTCTGAATTCTCAAATCTCTGAAACTTTACCCACTCTCAACAATGAAGTTCATCAACATCTCAGACCTATCTGAAGCTGACGCTAAGACTCTTGTGGCAAACATTGTCACTGGCATGAAGGTGGACATGTCCTCACTGCCATTGCTAGCCGAAAACAAGAAAATTATGAAGAAAGTCATCGAGGGGATGCATGACTCTCAACTGAGCAAAATTGTTGCTCACCCCTGTGAGTGGTTCAGCACTGTCGACGTTGCTGAGTTCTACCTCAACGCTACCATCACCGACAATGCCATTCACTCTCAAGTTCAGGGAAAGAACTTGAAGATCGATGTTGATGCTCTCAATGAGTTCTTCAACATCAAGCTCGACTCCCAGGATGAAGACACCCCCACTCTCATTGATCTTGAAGATGTGGATGTCTCCGTCCAAACATTTGTGGAAACCTACTGCCGGCCAGATGCAACCGGAGTAGATAAATTGTACATGAAGAAAAATATGTTGAAGAAAGACTATGAGAGGCTGATGAGCATCATGCACAGGTGTTTGTGGTGCAAAACTGGCTCTACTGACCAGATGAACAATGCCAACTCCAAGGGCATCTACGCTGTTCATCACAGCATGAATATCAACTAAGGAAAGGTATTATTCAAGTCCATTTCTGAATCTGTGGAGAAAAAGGACAAAAAGACTGGCATGTTCTCTACCAAGATGGATCATGGTCTCCTGATCTCCAAACTCATATCCAATGCTCAAGTGGAACTCAGAGACCGCACTGAAGTTAACCACATGAAGACCATCTTTCTGACTGCATCTCCTAAGATGCATGTGGCCATCTCTGCTGAGCTTAAGAGAGAAGAGAAGCTGGAGCAGAACAGGGAGAAAGTGGCTGCCAAGTCCAAAGCTGCACCTAAAAAGGCCACCAAGCAGAAGGAAGTGATTTCTGACCAGCCTCAAGTGAAACAGACTAAGAAATCCAAGAAGAAGAAGCCTCAGAAGCAACAAGAGACCACACCTGAGATAACAGCATCAGAGAAGGATGCATCTCAAGAGGCTGCATCAGAAGAAGCTGTCCAATCCACCCCTGCCAAGAAGCAAAGGCAGAAGAGAAGAAGAAGAGCTATCATTCAGAGTGATTCTGAAGTTTCTGCTTCTCCTGTTAGAGAAAAGAAGAAGAAGAAGAAAGGAAGCTCCCCTCCTAAGGTATCAGAAACTCAGGGGGAACCAGAACCAGAGAAGGCTGATGTTCAGGGGGAACCTAAGTCTCCTTCTCTGTCTGATCATCATGATGCAGAACTGGTTATCTCTCCCTCACAAGTGCAGCCAACTCCAACTCATGAGGAACCTGCAGATGGTGACATCCAAGGTGATATTCTCAAAGCACTAAACAAGCAGTTTGCTAGAGTGCTAGAATGGAGGAAGTGGAGATTGGGACCACTCTCCAACATTCTGAAATATTTTGGCTTCTACTCTGTTGAAGAGAAGGAAGTCTTCAACTGGACTGGCACTGATGATGTATCAAAGTGCACAGATCTTGCATTTCTGGAATCTGTACTAGCAGACAAGAAACAGAGGTTTAAAGGGAAGGCCATTTGGACATCCTCCACTACAGTTGAGCATGCTGCAACAGATGTTCCTCCCCTAACTGAGCAAGAAGTGCCTATCTTTGAAGCCTGGCTGGTGGAGAGAACAATGAAAGAGTCTCTTGATCCCAAACATCAAGCCAAGGATCAAGCTGGAGGACCCTCTGATGGTGATCTCATCTTTGCGAATCTCATTGATGACTGGAGAAGGGATCAGCAAAATGACCTTGAGGTAATTATTCCTTCTCCTACCCCATCTCCCAAACCCAAATCGCCCTCTGCTCATATTGCACCCTCTCCCAAACCAACCACTCCAACAACTACTCCCCCATCATCTCCTCAACCCCCTCAAAATTCCCCAACTCCATCTCACCAAAGAACCCCCTCTCCTCAGAAAACACCATCACCCAAGAAACCCTCATCCAAACCAGCCTCACCCTGCAAATAGTTAACCCCAACCAGAAACCGTTCACCCTCACCTCCTCCCTCTCCTCAACCCCAGAAATCCCCTGCACAACAAACTCCCCACCAGCAAACCTCACCTCATCAGAACTCCCCCCATCAGAAATCCCAATCTGCCTCACCCCCTTAGCAGAACCCATCCTCCAAGCCTCCATCACCTCAACATTCTGCTGCATCTACCTCAAAATTCCCCATACATCATGATTAACCCCTTCATCAACCCCAAATCCCTAATTAAACTACTCACGCCTCATAATTGATGAATCAAAAGAATTGGGATGAATAGAATTAATTGTCATTAATTAAAGAATTGAACTTACAAAGAATCCCAGGTTCTTGGATTAAACAACGTAAAAACGCAGGTAAAACTCGTCCCTAGGCCTCTCTCCAAAGTTTGTAACCCCCAAAAGTGGGTATGGAGGCCTTATTTATAGAAAACAATGAAATTGGGTCGAATTAGGACAAATCGCGGCCAGGCACGGTGCCAGGCACGATCGTGCCTGCGACCGTGCCTGCGGAAGATGCTCGTAATTCGCGTCCAGGCACGACGTGCCTAACTGCCAGGCACGATCGTGTCTGGCCTCCAGTAGCTTGGTTCCTCGATCAATGCCAGGCACGGCGTGCCTAGTTGCCAGGCACGATCGTGCCTGGCCTCCAGTAGCTCCCAGGATAATTCTTCTTCAGGCACGGTCGTGCCTGGAGTCAGGCACGCCGTGCCTGACCCTATTCTTCACTTTTTCCTCCGTTTCTCGTTCCAAATGCACCCGAATGCCTACGAGGTCGATCCAAATGCTCTTTCTTCACCAGAATTTCGTCGTTAATCTCCCGGTGGGATCCAAATCTCTCTCGAATGCCTTCAAATCTTTCCCGAATGCCTCTCAAGCGCCGATTGTCGGACTCTAACCTCTTCAAATTAACTCCAAATGCAATGAAACTCGATCCAACGCCTGTAAAACACAACTTGAGCCAAAATTGAGACTTGCAACGCCTTGAAGCCAGAAAAATCATCAAAATCCGATCTGAACACGCATCAAATGCGTGTCTAAATACGGACTTATCAGACTCCCCCACACTTAAGCTTTTGCTTGTCCTCAAGCAAATCGAACAACGGGACTTACGATAATCACCACACGGAATTTAAAATAGTTAGCATACACACGTAGTTAAAGGGATATTCACAGGATAGACAATCTAAACCAAGAAAATTCTTCCCTAAACTACACCTTTGTACTCAGGCTAAACTATTTGACATAATTATTCACAACATCCTCAAAGTAATGACAGCATACACAAATAAGCTAGCTACTGATCAGAAGGACTTGTGAATGTGATGGTGAATGGTTAATGATAATAGTCCCTTTATTTTGAGAGATAGGAATATTCTAACAAAGACTTAATGTATTTAGGAACTTCAGGGTTATTCTTGGGGACAGGGAACTCAGTAGGCCACAAATTAGGAACAATCATTTAAACCTATGCAAAGAGTAGACATGGTGTACAACTAAGCTAAACCGTCTCGGCACATTTGTGCTTTAACGTATACTTGAAGTACGCGGAGGACTAAAGCTAACTTTTCAATAGCCTCCAAGTTCATTGATTAAGTTTAGTTTTCCTTGTCATGTTGGCACGAGAACGCCATTTCTTTCGAAAGATACCCAAGTCTCATCTTATGCTTTTTGACCGGGGCTCCCATTCCCTTTTTCGCAAAGTAAGAGGTCTAGCTATATTAATTTTTCACCTTTCGGATTCTCACTAGACATTACCCCATTCTAATCTCGGCCTCACCAAGGAAAAATAGCAATTTAAGTTCATTTATTTAAAAGTGAATCCATGTCTACAATGCAATCCTTGAAAATATCATATTCCTAAAAAGTGACTGCTCTTACCCCATTTGGGGCATAGGAACAGTGCCAAAAAAGGCTCCTACACAAAATTCCCTAAACTTAGCAAATTAATACCTTAATTCCCTAAACATCAAGACTAAGTCAGAAATATTCACGGGTAAGGAAACAGGCCATATGGCTATGGAGCTTAATTAATTGGCTAACAACGAACGGTCAGGCTCAAAATGGCTTCTCTTAAAGGGTTCTTTGAGGTGGGGTGGATGATTATTGAAAAATTCAATGGGTGACTAATGTCTTCATCCTCTCAACAACTAGATTATAGTGCAAGCAATTTGAGCCTAAACACTTCAAAGATGTTCTAAAAGCATAGTCAAAACGCTAGCCAGCTCACAAAGACACAGTTTAAAGAAAAATTTTCAAAAATTTTGCATGACTTTCCTATGAATATACAACTAACACCTGCACATGCTAACTCTAATAAATCTCATGTAACAACCACTGTCCGAATGCCCAATTCACTAGACTCCCCCACACTTAAGCTTTTCCTTGTCCTCAAGCAAATCGAACAACGGGACTTACGATAATCCCCGGCAACGGCGCCAAAAACTGATGAGTGTTTTCTCGCACTTAAAATGGTTGTAGAAAAGTGGTGTAAAGTACGAATATCGTCTCCACAGGGACGGACAAAAGGGAAATAAAGATTAACTAAACTTTAGCGATTAAAAAGAAATAAATAAAATCAAAGTGCAATTGTGCGAGATTGGTTGATTGATTGAAATAAAACTAATGCTAATGAACGAATAAAAAGATTTGGTTTTCCTTAATTAACGACTAAGGGAACAGGAATTGATTCCGGGGTTAACCAGATTTCTGGCAGAACAGGCCTAATCACATGAATTTAATTTAATTGAGTCTAGCTAATCATTACGAAGTTCTTACCGCTCTCGCGGCGTAGAGTACAATAATTTAGGGGACCAGGCTGATCTCTCATGCGACAAGATCCTAAATTATTGCCAAAACGAGCGAGCTTACGGCCCCTTAATCGCTACTAATCTCTTAGCGAACGATTAAGTGTGTGTGAATGTGTCCTAGAACAAATTAGATCTCTCTTAATTTATTCTATAAGCAATTGTAATTCTAGTGGCCATCTAGGTTACAAGAGATATCAGTTAAATTATTCAAACACAAATTAAACGGCATTCATGCAATTAAACCGACAAGAATCTAGTCATACATCATGATTAACCCCTTCATCAACCCCAAATCCCTAATTAAACTACTCACGCCTCATAATTGATGAATCAAAAGAATTGGGATGAATAGAATTAATTGTCATTAATTAAAGAATTGAACTTACAAAGAATCCCAGGTTCTTGGATTAAACAACGTAAAAACGCAGGTAAAACTCGTCCCTAGGCCTCTCTCCAAAGTTTGTAACCCCCAAAAGTGGGTATGGAGGCCTTATTTATAGAAAACAATGAAATTGGGTCGAATTAGGACAAATCGCGGCCAGGCACGGTGCCAGGCACGATCGTGCCTGCGACCGTGCCTGCGGAAGATGCCCGTAATTCGCGTCCAGGCACGACGTGCCTAACTGCCAGGCACGATCGTGCCTGGCCTCCAGTAGCTTGGTTCCTCGATCAATGCCAGGCACGGCGTGCCTAGCTGCCAGGCACGATCGTGCCTGGCCTCCAGTAGCTCCCAGGATAATTCTTCTTCAGGCACGGCGTGCCTGACACCAGGCACGACCGTGCCTGACCCTATTCTTCACTTTTTCATTCGTTTCTCGTTCCAAATGCTCCCGAATGCCTACGAGGTCGATCCAAATGCTCTTTCTTCACCGGAATTTCGTCGTTAATCTCCTGGTGGCCTCCAAATCTTCCAAATCTCTCTCGAATGCCGGACTCTAACTTCTTCAAATTAACTCCAAATGCAATGAAACTCGATCCAACGCCTGTAAAACACAACTTGAGCCAAAATTGAGACTTGCAACGCCTTGAAGCCAGAAAAATCATCAAAATCCGACCTGAACACGCATCAAATGCGTGTCTAAATACGGACTTATCAAAGAGGAAGACTTCTAATCCCTCTATCTTTTTGTACTTTCTTGAACTCTGATATATAAAATAACCTCGCTGCCTCTTTTTTTGCATGGCAATCTCAAATCATCTGTTATTTATTACCTTAAGTATTTATTATTCTTTTATGCTGTGATTGATTGTATCGTACTCTTGTTATTTTCCTATGCTAAGTTGCCCACCAAGATTTGTAATGAAAGTTTTTAACTTATTTTCTTTGATGGTGAAAGGCACTTCTCTGGAAATAGCTTAAGGGTTTTGGCATCATCAAAAAGGGGGAAATTGTAAGGAATAATTGTACTTAGATTTTGATGATGCCAGGATAGATTAGAATCTTAAAGTACCCCTTATAGAAATTTTGTATTAGAATTTTTCTCTGTAAGTATTAGCATAGTCAACGGGCCAGAGATCCTCTCAGTAATTCTGATCAGAGTTGCTAGGAGAACTGCTCCATGAGAGTTGTTCTTCAGAGAAGCATCAGAGTTGCTAGGAGAACTGCTCTATGAGAAGTGCTAGCAGAGTTGCTCCTTTAACTAGCTATGAGAGTTGCCTGCAGAGCTGCCATTCAGAGAAACCATCAGAGCTGCTACCAGAGCTGCCCTCATATAGCTACCAGAGAACCATCAGAGCCCAGCTTAAGAACTACTAATCAGAGAATCTCATCAGACATCAAACACTTAGAAGAATTCGATGTTACCTTCCAACGGCCGTGTAACTAACGGGAAATTCCCTAACGGCTAGAAGATATCTCACGAAAGGAAAGCATTTAATGCTCATTTAATGAGTCTGATACGCTGTGGAGTAATTGCAGATGATTGACCGAGATTCCTAGAAGATATATTACAAAAATAGAAACCTGCCAACTTTGCGGGTCCAAGCGGTCAACTCCACAGTACGCGCATTTAATGCAGTTGTCTCCTCCTCCAACGGGAAGACAACCCTAGTATAAAAGATACTCGATGAAGAACAATCGGACAACTTTTGCTCTTTATACAATTCAACAAGCTCTCTTGAGATTTAAACTCCATAACCAAAAGTAAGAAAAAGCTTAACGTTGGGAAGATTATACTATTCAAATCCTTCAACTCAACAAAGAGCAAAGTTCCTCCAGTTCTTCAACAACTTCAAGCACTTCATCAACACATCTATTATAACGAAGCAAGTTGGAGAAAAACTCTGTTTTTCAAGCATCTTCTTGAAAGAAGGACGTCTCAAAATAGCTGCAGTGTGAAATGGGGATACTTCAAGAAATTCAGTGAAACGAGACCAGCCATCAGGAAGCAGGACTGCATCCCGGGTGGCAACTAGGCTTGAAGAAGATGTGGAGAGCTTCTTAAGTTCTAGGGACTAAGGCGTTGTAACTGTCGTTTTACAAGCTTAGTGGAACAGTGGACTAGAGGAACACGTTGTTCCTTGAACCACTATAAAAATCCCCGGTGTCATTTACTTTAACACTCTTTAATTTCTGTACTTAGGATTTTAACTGCATAACTCTCAAGAACTTGGAATCTGTGTTCGGCAGATCTTGTTCTAAGAGTCATCAGAAAGGTACTTGCCTTAGTATTGTCTTGAGGCTACCCAGACAGACCCTTATCCGCTGCCTAGTCCAGTTCTGTCATCAGAACTCGACCATCTCTGTCATCATATTTGGACCACCTCTCATAAGTCAGTTCTGACTTAGAGAAAAATTTGAAAAACAAAACAGTCTATTGACCCCCTCTAGACTGCTTCATACTTTAATGGGACCAACAGAATCGAAAGGAGTATTCCACTTTTCGAATGAGATGAGAACAAAATCAGTGGTCAGAGAAGAAAAATCTTCAAAGGGAATTGAAATTACCTTGACAAACCATCATTTCAAGTAGGCCTCTTTGAGTGTCGCGGCATCCTCATCAGCTATCTTCCCCATCTTGGGATATTGTTTGACGGCCTCTTTGTCGGGGATGATTCACATCGCAATATCCCTTTTCTGTGTGAACTTTTTGGGCAGTGCCTTGCGTTATCTTGAGCATCTGGTCTAGTTGGCGTGTGGTTGGTGGTGATGCATGGGTCTCAGTTGGAGAGGAGCTTCCATTCCCATTTAGACCCCCCTGAGAAGATGACGGGTTGTTGACCTCTGTAGGCAGTGATTTGGATTCAAATTTAGCGGCTATGGAGTTGTTAGCGCTCGCGTCCATGATTGGAGGGACGAGTTCGAGATTAATGTGAACTGGTGAGGAGGGAGAGGTCTTTTGAGAGCTTTTGTTACGGCCAGAACATTGAAGCACGGTGGGGGCAAAACCACCTCTGGTTTTAACCATAGTGGCCGAGAAGATGAAGAGTTTATCAAGTGGCCAGAGATGGGCGGTTGGACGAAGTGGTGTATCTTTGGTAACTGAATCCAAAGCTTTAATTATTTTTGGGGAAGTGGATCGACGAGTGGATTTGGGGCGCCGAATCGGAAACTAAATCAATCTAACTTGTTACCCACTCTTTTAGTAGCAAATTTAAAAATTCAAAACAAGAATGCCAAAAATAAACAAGACTTTCGGTGTCGTAATATATAAAAAGATAAGTAAGAATTCAGGCAGTAACTAACCCAAGTTCGAGACGAATGAATTCAAACATTTCTCTTCCCATAGGTTTGGTGAAAATGTCGGCAATTTGTTTTTTGGTGTTGCAATATTCTAGTCGGATCAGCCCTTTCTCTACGCAACCCCTCAGAAAGTGATGACGAATATGAATATGCTTTTTTCGGGAGTGCATGATTTGATCTTTTGAGATATTGATTGCACTTGTGTTATCACATAAAATTGGCGTGCAATTTAAGGAAATCCCGAAGTCACTTACTTGTTGCATGATCCATAGAGATTGAGCACAAAATGATGTTGTTGATACATACTCGGCCTAAGCCGTTGAGAGAGAAACTGAATTTTGTTTCTTGGAACCCGCAAAATTAGAGTTTGAATATGCTCTAAGATTAAAATCTTCATTTCGTGGATACCAAAGACACACATTTGTAGTCCCTCTAAGATATTTGAGAATTCTTTTAACCGCCTTTGTTAGAACATTATTTATTGTGTACAAATTAATTGTAATTATATTTGATCAATTAGTCTTAGTATTAGTAAGTGATAAGTCCGTATTTAGACACACGTTTGATGCGTGTTCGGATCGGCTTTTGATGTTTTTTCCTATCTTTAAGGTGTTACAAGTCTCAATTTTAGCTCAAGTTATGTTTACCAGGCGTTGGTTCGAGTTTTGTGTCATTTGGAGTCAAAATCAGGAATTTAGAGTTCGGCACCGGCGCTTGAGGAGCAATCGGGATGATTCGTGTCACGCCCCGGACCTACCCGGACACGTCAACAATCCGCCGTACAGTATGAATAGTCAACCGCAGTCTAACACATCCGTACTATACAAGGCGTCTGGAATATCATTCACACATAGTACATCCATAAACAAACATAATGTAAAATATTCATTAAAGCAGCGGAAACAATATTACAAGCTAGTGTTCAAGCCACACTTGGCAAACTTGGGCATACAAGCCCTCAATAATTTATTAGAAAATATTATCCATGAGCATCATTGTAATTGTTTTGAAAACAGAACGGAGGGAGCACGAACCACGTCTTCTCTCCAAGAACTCCCGAAGCAACGGGTACAGGAAGCAAGCTCTAGCTTCTACCTGAAAACTGTGAGGTGGCCTCCCCCGTGAAGGGGAGGTCAGTACTTTGAAGCATTTGAAAAGTACAATGACAACTATACTGCATATAATTAATGTTTCAATCCTTAAGACCCTCAAAATAGGTGTTATCATAATACTAGGAAATAACCCATAGTTACCCCTTTCAAATCATACATAAGTATATATCGTCAAATAGTCGGCCCATAGGCCCATTTGTATTTTGTCAAAACCCTTTTGCATCGCCATGCGATATTTTATTTCCCCGTTTGTATTTAATAATACAATTCAAATCGCTCTGTGATAATTCAAAATATAATCTGTATCGCCCTGCGATAATTTAAAAATACAATTTGTATCGCCCTGCGATAATTCAAAAATACAATTTGTATCGCCCTGCGATAATTTGAAAATACAATTTGTATCGCCCTGCGATAATTCGTATTGCCCTGCAATAATTCATACAGGACCTGTCACCGCTATCCAAGTCTCCATGGAGCACTCGGTCGGAGTCCAGCATCCTGCCCCTGGACTCATACCCTGTTCCCGTAGGAAGGTAAGGCCCATTCGGGGTCCTATCTTATGTGTTACCGCTGTCAAAGCCTCGCAAGGTCTTTGATTCGGATTCCACCCTTATACGTGATCACGCTGTAAGTCCATGCTATCCAACTCGCTCTCTAGAGCCAAGAAGGGCCATGGTCCTTACATCTATCCTATTATGGGCCCATGCAGTCCGGCACGATCCTTAGACTCGTCCGTCTCATGACCCTCATCTATCTATTAGCAAATTCATGTGATCGGGCATCTATCCTTAGACTAGAGCCGAGCCATGACCCTTGCTACCAATCAAACAATCAATTACGGGTATCCTAAAGACCACCCGGATAATAATATCAACAATCCAATCCTGGGATAATTATATCATTTAAATCATCTAAGGCTATCCCAACTGAATACCCTAGTGACGAAGCATCACAATCCTAAACTTAGGATTAATTTATAAATGTTCATACTATAACCTCGAACTAGTCACTTAGTACCACCTGAGTTATTCTTAGTTCAAATTCTCTTTCCCTTTTAAACAAACATGGCGGCCATGCCATGACTCGTCCTCGCATCATTCTATATTGATTTTACTAACCATAAAGTAAATATAGTTAAATAGTGATTAATAAAACATTTTATTAGTTCATCTCTAAACCAACTAGAACAACTTCTCAAACATATCAAGTAACCATGCTCCAATTACTTATACCCCAATCAATCATGCATCAATTCTTCATATACAACAATATGATCAATTGACACTTTACTTGGCACATTAGTTAATTAAAATCATGCTTTTATAACATTAGGTAATCTCATGAATTAACCCACTAGTTATAAACAATATAGTCAGTCATCCTCACCTTATGATGTTCTCAACTAGTTGCCTTTGCTAAGCCCTTCGATCAATCCCCGTTCTAGGCCAATTGAAAGTGAAAATTCTGGACAGCAGACAAAAGGTGGGCGGCTTTGGCAAAAGGTGGGCGGCTTTCGGGCCTGCAGCTCGAAAACAGTCCCCAACAATGGCGGTTTTCCGGCGATTTCAACTCCTATCGATTCCACAACTCTTCTAAGTTAAATACCACCACTTTATATCAATATTATACACTTTTGAATGTGTAGAACTCTTGGTTTAATCCACTATATGATTTCTTAAAAATCATATGAATACAAAACTAGTTAATGAAGCCTTTTGGGTTCTTACCTCAATTCCTAGCCTTTTGTGTTGGGTTTTTCCTTCCCTCTTGCTTTCTCCTAGCTTGAGCTTTGTGAGAGCTTTGGTTTTTCTTTGAGCTCTCCCCCTTGTGTTGGCCGAATGAATGCAAGAGTGGTAGAGGGAAGATTCCTCTCAATCAACACAAAACAATTGTGAAGGATATGACATGGGGGGTATAGGTTTTGTCTCAAAGAGGCCTCCCCTTTCACTCATCCGCACCAACCATTCTTGGTTGTCCCCCTCCCCATTATTTGAGAGCCTAGAGTGTGTAGAATACTCCCAAATGGGTGTAGGAAACTCCCCCCAATTATTGTTGTTATTTCTGGCAGGTTGGGTCAAAATAGTACTTGGGTTGTCCAAACATTTTCCTCAACTTTAGTTGGCATTTTATTGGGCTTCTATAATTATTATGATGACCCAACTAAATATTTGGGAGTCCATTCCCATTATTTGGGACCCGATAAATAGTTCAATTAATCACGCATTAATTAAATGTACCACTCAGCTACACGAATTTTATTCGCTAGGAAATTCAAATACATATCAAATTTCAAATTCAAGTACATCCGGATGCGGTGTCACAATTCGAGATGCATTCGAGAGTGGATTGAGAGATTTGGAGGTCACCGGGAGGTTTACGATGAAGATTTGGTGACAAAAGAGCTCTAAGACTGGCTTCGGGATCAAAAGAAGATGAATGAAGCTTGAAAACGCTGATCAGGATGACCTTTGGTCAATCTTTCAAGCATATATCCTCGTAGAAACAACCAATGGACACGATTCAAGTTCCATATGAAATCCAACTTCAAGAGCTACAAATCATATGAAGACACCTTTGCGAGAATCTGAGAGAAAGAAGGTGAAAACAGACGATGAAGTCAGATGATCTCTGCTGCGATTTCAGAAAGACACCTTCCACCGTTTTGATCATATCTCTTGATTGGATGATTCAAATCACATTCGGCAAATTGGGGTGGATAGAGGACTTGATTCTCTACAACTTTCATTAAAGAAGTTTTGTCAAATTCGGAAGTTTTATGCACGCCGTGCGTGGGGGAACGCACGACCGTGCGTCTGAGGCGAGAAAGCAAAGAACCTACTGCCAGCAACGCACGGCCGTGCGTTCCATATTTTTACACGGCTATGCTCCGGACGCACTGGGGGACGCACGCCGTGCGTTGGCCCCTTGCGTTGCCCCTGGAATCCTAATTTCGCCCGAATTTGTTCCGTTTTTCCTATTTAAACAGCCTGTAATCCCCGTTTTCAAGGGGGGAGCTTAAAGAGAGTGCCTAGCACGAATTTTAGAGGGCTTTTCAGCCTTGTTCATCAATCTTTTGGAATTCTTTGTAAGTTCCACCTTTTTAATTAATGACAATTAATTCTTTTTATTCCAATTCTATTGATTCTTCAATTATGAATTGTGAGTAGTTTTAATTAGGGATTTGGGATTGATGAAGGGGTTAATCATGATGTATGGCTAGATTCTTTTCGGTTTAATTGTATGAATGCCGTTTAATTTGTGTTTGAATAAAATAATTGATATCTTTTGTAACCTAGAATCGCGACTAGAATTACAATTGCATGTAGAATAAATTAAGAGAGATCTAATTTGTTCTAGGACACATTCACACACACTTAATCGTTCACTAAGAGATTAGTAGCGATTAAGGAGCCGTAAGCTTGCTCATCTTGGCAATAATTTAGGATCATGTCGCATGAGAGATCAGCCTGGTCCCCTAAATTATTGTACTCTACGCCGCGAGAGCGGTAAGAACTTAGTAATGATTAGCTAGGCTCAATTTAATTAATTTCATGTAATTAGGCCTGATCTGCCAGAAATTTGGTTACCCCGGAATCGATCCATGTTCCCTTCGTCATTAATTAGAAAGAACCCCCTAGTTTAATTGTTCGCATTAGTTTTATTTTCCAAACCAACCAATCTCGCACGACGCTTTTATTTTATTTTCTTTTTAATCGCTTAATTTGTCACGC